AGTGATTGAAGGCAAGAATCTTCACCTTACTAGTAAAATTGGTGATGACAGTATAAGATGTGACTAGGCTTACAGCAACCTTGAAAGGGATGGGAAAAGCTTGCTTTGAAGAGAAAGAAAAGGGACAATCAGGAAGACAGTGAGAAACAGCTGTACCAGTAAAGCTGCACTGGTTGGATAACAGTTCAATAATACTCCTTTCTCAAGGAAAAAAAAAATACTGCAATAATTGAGATTGAACATGCTGAGAAGCTAAAAGAGAATTTAAAAATAAGGGAAATGGTGTTGGAGTCACTCAGGCAAACAGAAAAAAAAATTGAGAAAAAGTTTTGACTGACAAGAAAGGAAAGAAAGCAAAAGGAAACATCACGTTCTTTGTTGATCATTTCTGAAAACAATTCAGTAAAATCTGAACACAGAGAAGGGCAGGAGAAAGAAGGAAAACTGGAGGAAAAAGTTAAACTGAAGTAGTAAAACTGTTCAGTGGAAAAATGGGAGGAAAAGAATGCAAGAACATAATGGTAGGACAGAAAGCCAGCCTGTTTGTGGGATTGCTACTAGAAACATAACACAGAATCAGAGTTAATCAGGAGAAACCACATAATCTCAGAAAAGGGCAAAAACCCTAAAAATAAAGCACGGGGAGAAGAAGGGAAGGCAGTAAACAAATCAGAAGCCATAAGAACAGGCACACTGGATTCAATTAAAAGGCCCATACTATCCAAGAGCTTGTCTTCAACCATGACCTCTGTTTCACCCAAGGATTTTACTGTTCCTTTCTGAGTTGGGATGACAAAACTGTGTATGCTATTTCCAAATACAGATATACATCGCAACACTCACTATTTCATTCTCCCTTCCTTTCCTAACAACTCCTAAGATTCTACTCTGCTTTTTCCCTGCCACTGAACATCAACCTAACATTTTTAACGAAGTATGCACAATGATTGAAGTCTTACTTCCCCGCTGTTTATTTTAAAGTTCTCTTTCATGTAGGTATAGTTAGGAGTATTACATTCAGCACTGATTTTATTTGTGTTTTATTGGCTTCTCCGTTACTTGACTGACTGGACCAGTAACAGGTTGTGGAAGATAGCCAAAACTCAGAAATAGTAAGTAGTCCTCAGGAAAGAATAAATTAGGTGAAGAAAAACCTAAGAGGGAGGACCATGTTTAATGAACAGAAGTAATCTTCGCAGGAAGAACGGAGCACGGGCTTTGGGTCAACTGCATGTAAAGGGGTGAGCTTTCAGCTGAAATGGACTGGTGAGTCTTATCGTGTAAACTGGAGTGACCAAGAATGACAGGAGTATGAGGAGAGGAACGGGAGAGGCTCAAAAGTGGAGCAGTACAAATGAGTATAGTATGATAGGAACAAGGTGCAACAGAGTAGAAAAGATAAGTGATGTGAAAGCGTGTGGACTGGAACACAGAAGCACAACAACCTTGTCACCATGGTTTGATCCTCAGTGGGAAGTGTAAGGGAAGAATAATTTAAAGAGAGAGCATCGTGGGGCAACTCCTACATCTTCTTAAACACGTGGTTGGAATAGAAGAAATAAATGCAGTTTTCAGGACTTAAAAGATGGGTTACCCACAGAACAGTTAGACCACAATCAGGAAATTCACACTTTACACCTCTAGGAGAGCCCGTAACAACATTACTAGCAGCTGGGTATGCAACACTACATTTTTGGAAAAAGCAAAGACTCCTCAATTTTAAGACATAGGGAAAAAGTGCAGGAAATCTTCCAATAAGAAAAAATGGCAGGCAGCTTTATTTCAGGATGAAATAGATTTAACAAAAAAATCTTCTGATTTTTTCTAACAGGAAAGAGTCTGTCAAAGATAATAAATAGAGATTTTAATAAGATCTATATGAAAAATCCATGCAATATGAGAAGCTTTATAAACAGTGACTCATACTCACCCTAAAGTTGTCAGGAGAGCTTAGATATAGTTTTTCCCTAATGTCTTCAGGAGCACCAGCACAAAGCCTGTAAAAGATATGATAATTCCTCTCTTCTTTGCCTTGCACACAGATCCTAGATTTCTCCAGAAGGTAATGTGATACAAATCCACCAACCACCGAGTTCTAGGAGGAAGAAATATTTTTCTGATTATCTGAATATTTTTTGGATTACTTGAGATTCACAAGTTTTTAATTTACATTTGTCTGACCATGGCTCGCCCAACGGACACTGCTCCAAAGAAGATTAAAATATATCTATACCTAATACTTACTAAGCTTAGAAAAGAAACCATTGCCTTTACCATAACTTCTCCCCCCGGCTCATGTATTGCATATGCATACATTCCTCCTAAAAGAAGGGTCTGCTTCACCCCAACAAGCAGAAATCCTTGGTAGAATTCCACTAGTTCCTGCAGAGAGCATTGCTACAGCCACCTTTACACTTTTTGGATGGCAGTAAGTGCCGTTACCATGATATTACAAACCTTCTCTAGTTGCATTTCACTGAGAATCTTGCAAAGGAGAAGGAAGGGTTAAAAAAAAGAATACATATTTGGACAACATCTTAGACAGACTAATTATGAGCAAAGATTTTATTTCAAGCACTTGCCCTTCCTTTCTGAGATAGAAGTGTAACACAGATTTTGAAAGCCATTTGTTATCTGGCCTATGATAAAATTCCCCGTGCCAAGGCAAATCTTAATAGCAAGGAAATTCCTGTGCTTATGGCCATTACAGCAACTAAGGAGGACTTGCTGACTGACAAATTTGACTACGGTTATGCAGTCATTCACTCATTCAGGAGGCCCCAGTCTTTACTTATATTCCTTTAAGAAATCAGGCCTAATAAGGTCACCACGAAGTGAAATCTTGTGAAGTATAGAGTCTTGTAAAAAAGGGGCTAAAGTAAACAGGCTGATCTTGCTCTGGAAAGCTGAAACAGGCTTTTAAAGCAGCTTCTGAAGATACTCTGAGTGCTATTCACTTCAGCTGAAGCAATTAATCTGAAACACCATGTAAGTGTTGACAGATAAGTTGACAGGTCATGAATGCATCATTCCAAGTAGAAATTTGGGTCCTTTCCATAAGTTTATTAACATGAACTGGACCAAGGGATAAAGTCCCTCTACCCTTAAAGGAATTTAGTTATTTACTATCTAAACTATTAACCAAAGATCTGAAGTTTAGTTACAAAACCAACAGATGAAAGCTTAGGAAAAGACCCCAAGCTCAAGACCAGATGATGAGATTAAACTCTGCAGGAAGGAACTGCAAGAATTTGTTTCTTTACGTCCTGAATCAGAAAGGTCAGGAGGCAGGTACATAATCTCAACACGGATCATCAATGAAAGTCTTCAACTTGGACATGCTGGACAGCTATATAGTCATCCATAATTGTGGAATGTGTGTATACATACGCTATCCAAGCAAAACTACACCCAAACAAAGAAAATTTTTCATAAGCTACACAGTGAATAGCACTTCTGACAAAAAACAATTCCATGACTTCTGTCACATACACAATACTAACGTGAGGTCCCAACATTTCATAGAAAACTATAAAAACATCAATAATTCATTTAAAGTATTAAAGCATTAAAATATGTTTATATCTGTTTATGTCTAATATGCAGCTCACACTTATTTGTGCATTAAAGGAATGCATAAATACTTAACAGCAAGTAAGTTATTCTTTAGATATGCCTTTTTGCCATGAAGGGAGCAATTTTTATTCTGTTGTGGATGGAAGCAATTTTCGTACTGACTAATGACCCACCATTTTCCAGTAGTGACACAGTGCTGTGTAGCTTTGGTTTTCCTTTCAAGGTGATAGAATACATATCATAACTGTAAAGCAGGACAGTAGCTACTTAGCACAAGATAAATACATCTATTCAGCCTACTTCCAGTCTAGCATTACCATTTTATAGCAAAAAAATCATCACTGGTTATCTGTATCAAAATTCCAGTACCTTTTCATTGAAGTGAATTTCTACAAATTTCCCAAAACGACTGCTGTTGTTGTTGCGAACAGTCTTTGCATTTCCAAAGGCTTCTAATAGGGGATTTGCTGTTTAAAAAATTAAAAATTTTGAAGTGTTAAGATTTGATCAATACACTACCAAAAAGAAAGAGAACAAATACATACTAATTATTCAGTGAACTTACTGGGAATAAGGTTTGAAAATTAAAGGAAAAATATTACCTATTATGAATAATCAACTTTGCAAACTGTACTGGATATACTGTGGTGGCACTTACAATGAAACACTTAAATATCACTTAAAATTGCAAAGTATTTGACTTGATACTGTAAGAAATTCAGAGACAAACACCGCAAACTATTCAGTGATGTTCTTCTACAGCAAGTAGGTAAATAATTGATACATAAACTACACGAGACAACACACAATTTGACATTTCCCAATGCGTTGTTACTCATTAAATCTAAACTACCCACTTATCCCACAGACAAAAGTGCCACTTAAATGTCATGCATGCAACGTGTTAGATTGATTAGGGAATAAAAAAATGCATTAGAAGAGAGTGTGATTTCAAAAGCAACTTAAAAATGCCCTTTCAAATTAGGTCAATTAAGTGATTGAGTGATTTTATTTTTTACTGGCTGCAGTTTTCAAGCGCCTTAAAGCCTATACAAAAAGAGTGGCAGCAATCTAAAGTATCTCTCTCTCTCTCTCCACATCATGCACAGTTAAGTTTGAAAATGCTTTGTAGTTATGAAACACAAGGCCTCTGAAAGACTGCATTTACTAGCTCTGAAGATCAAAGAAAACCAATTTACTGAATTGTGCTAACAATACACCACTGAAAATATCTGCAAGATTTTTTAAGGCTTTCAGCTAAAAAAAAAAATATGCATTGGAAACTAAGTGAGCAGAAACTCAGATTTAAAACTCCACTGACAACCATCTACAAATCTGCTCCTACAAAAATTAAAGAATGAAGGAATAACTACAATGGTTGGATAAATTATGGATGATAATGCAGCATTTAGTAGGACAACATCAGCATTAACTTTTTTGTTTTGGCTAGGTTTTCAGTTTTAATACTTAAAGCTTATGAAAATGCAAATCTGACTTTCAAAACTCAAGAGAACTTTGATAACTATTCAGGCATTTTACATAATATTAACAGTTCTGAAGAAAATATTATAAATAAAAACAACTAGCAAGAGGTCTTTCAGATAGGTTAAAGGTTTCTCTAGTAATACATATGCTGTAAGCGTGCTCGTTAAAATTGTGCCTAAAAACTTCAAAATTCATGCATCAGATACTATCTTAGATTAAAAAACTCAAACTTTTCTAAGAATACCTACAAGTACCAATTAATTTTATGGCATACTGCGTCAGGCATTATCCAACTCACGGCCACTTTCTGAGTTCCTTTAGCACACAGTGGATTTCACTAAGGAATTGGTTTAAGCAAACCTACAGCAACAAGAGATTAAAGGCTGCAGTAGTTCTCTTGAATAATCCAGTGGCTCGAATTTGAAAACAGAAAATTTAAAGCAAAAGATAAAGTAAAAATTTTTTGTTTAAGAAAAAGACAAGAGAGTAACGAAATTCCAAAATAAATCTACTATATGCTATAGAAGACTAAAACTGATGTATGAGGCATTATTAGATTGGCTGAGGGTTGTTTGGTTTTGAGATATTTATATTTTCTCAAAAAGTTATCTTCTGTTCAATTAGGAAGTGCATGCAACACTGAAGAGGCTTAACTGGATGATTAACACAGTCTCTTCTGACCTTGTTTGGGAGTCTGTTATAAAGATAGACACAATGAAAGTGTTCATCCGAATTATGTGCTTTCTGACAAAAAAGACATAACAGAAAAACGACCCAGAACCATAATTTAAAAGAACTTCCCTGCTTTATCTGACTTTGAGAACTTTATGGTGAGGAGGAGGAATTACTCTTTCCTGGTACTAAGAGGTAGTAATAAGAACATAATCTTGTACTTGCAGATTTCATACAGCATAAAATCCAATCTTGGGTACACGTGTGTGTGAAGTTCAACTCAAACACACACTTAAACATTTTCTAGAAAGGAGTATATGACACTATACTAAATAAAAATAAAGTGACTCACAAATAAGAAATAGGTTTTCAGAATTTAGGATCAAGGTGAACTACCAGTAAATGATGCCCTAGGAAGTCTCATAGTGTTCCCATCCTAGCTTTTACTTAGTTACTGTTGATTGACATTTCAAATTGGGAGCAGGGAGAAAGGTAAAACACTGGAACCTGTAATTCAATTAAAGAAAATTCAATACCTTCTACAATTCTATCGTCAATATCTTGGCCAGTACCATAGGATTCTGTCAAATACCTGTAAAGCAAGATAAAAATATTGGCATCTTTCATGTGTCAGGTTACCTCAGTTCAACAGGATTTAGCATGTCTGTGCACCATACTTACTAACCGTTTACTAAAGGGAAAGCATATTGATTACAAGTTGCAAATACCTATATCTTTTAAAATAAATGCAGTTTGACTTTTCTTTTTTGTTAAAACAAAAATATTCTTGCAGACTTCGGATTTTTTTCAATACTTCAAGACATGCTAGAAATTTCTTCTAGACATGCACATGGAAATTACACTTTTACACAAATATAATGAAACTATTACTGTACTATCTGTATTTATTAATGATCTTAGCAAACACATAAGATTTCATATGTATTGCCTGAATTAAAGACTGTTTCCATGCATACAGCTTCTGTGTTCGTAACTATCAGTGTTAATAAAAATCCCACATGGAGACGGTGAGATAGGAAATTGCAGATGCATAATCAAGTTAAGATTCAATTTAGCAACTGAAGAAAGAATTTGAAAATAAATCCACAATGTACTTGCTCCAAAGTTGCAGCTTTCTTCCCCCCTCCCCGCCCCGCGCACAGGGCATGCTTTCTGGAAATTCACAAGTAAATCTGGGATGAGTTAAAAACAGCTCTCAAAAATGGGGCCTTCCAAAAAAACTTTTGGAGCACTAACAGTATGAGTACTTTTTGCTTTCTGATCACACAAGGGAAAAACCTTCCTGCTTTTAAAACTCAATGATGTTTTATACACAGACTCTATGGGGGTGGGTGGAGGGGAGAAGCAGCAGCTGCAGTATTTGCCTGCCGTGTAATCAGAACTTCCTTTGCCGAGAAGTGGAAGAACAACCTCCTTTGAGACCATTCCTCAGGAGATGTTCTCCCAGCGCCTGCCGCCTTTTTTTGCTCTTAGCAGTATCAAAAATTAGGATGTCCCCTGTAAAAATCATTACCAGCACCTTGCAGTAATTCTTACAGCTATCTGTTAAAGGTCGAACAGGGGCAGAGAAGAGCAGTATGAAGGACAGACAGCCATGACAATTCTTCATGGGATGTGAAAGATAATACCACTACTGTACAGAGAATACATGATGTCAGGGAAAAGGGAATTAAAGATTTACACTGGGAAACAAGGACAAGGTGGCGAAGGGAGCATATTCACACTGCCTGCGCTGTGCTTCCCTGGATAATCAGGCCACCTGTGATATAGGTGAATTTCCAGTTACAGTGTTCCAGAGTGATATAAAAGCAGATGAAGTATAAAGCAAATATGGTCAAAAACATTGAAACCATATAAAAGGAAGCAAGGCTGATATATATCAGCAACATGGCCTCTGTGTAGTTTAATATGCCTGATTTAGTACTGGTCATACATGAACATCAATAAATCCCATTATTCGATCTTATTCAGTTAATTAGGGTAAAATATATTACAGAATCTTTGCAGCGATCTCAAAATCAAGAGTTAAAAACCCCAGATGCTTAAGGAAACTAAAGAAACAAACACAGGGAAAACACAGACATTCAAATTTATGGCAAAACTAACAGTGTCTGCAAGATACAGTTAAAATGCCTAGTTACGTTTTTATCTACCACAATACCAGATGTGCAATACCAAAATGACTGCATCATAAACCATAACCACTACATGACGTCACTACAACCGAGTTAAGGTTTCTGTGAATATATAGCCATTTCCTTATGTTATAATGTCAGCATTTCAGTTTAACCCTATGAATTTCTTGTATTAAAGTGTGCACACAAGTATCTTACTGAACTGTGGCTTAAACCTGCTGATTACTTTACAATTTGCTCTGTCTGTATGTCAACCAAATGCACCAACACAAGCAATGCAATGAACAACTTTGGTCCAAAAGCACAAACCTCAAAACAAATTTAGTGTTTTCTGTCTTGCCAGCTCCCGATTCTCCAGAGACTATGATGGACTGACTCATCTTGAGCACTTTCATGTCACGGAATGCTTTATCAGCTTAAAAAGAAGAATATGTTAAACATGACAAAAAATAATATTCAGGAGAGTTGCAAGCATAAAATTAAGCTACAATCAGAAATTAACATTTAACATTTTCAGGAATAAAAAGGTGAATCTTTACAATTGAGTGATATACAACTTATTAAAGTCTGTTTCCCTTTAAATTATATTATAGTTGCTCACCCTCAAACACTGACATGTAAAAGAGCTTGAAGTCTGAAAACAAAAGACCTACTCAACGATATCCAGGACAAAATAAAACAAAAACCAGCATCTAGAACTAAACCTCTTGAATTAAATGTATTTACAAAATTGTAACCAATCTTAATGTGTCCTTTAACAGGAAGCTTTCAGTTGCACTTTGTAACAAGTAACATCTGAGACAAAGAAACTTGGAAAAACATGGGTAGTTTTCTTGTTATGCAACAGGTGCTAAAAACCCAGCTATTTACACTTTTGATTACAAAAAAAAATGCAACATGGTGAGAAGGCTTTTAACAAGTCAAATGCTGATTTCTATTCCAATTCTTTTTTCTTAAACAAAGCAACTGAAATCAGGTTTATCCCATTAATAACATTTAAGCACACTTTCTGTGTATAACACAAGCATATAAAAAGAAACAGTACATGTGCTCTGGCGACATAATAAAGGCAAAGGACATCACTACAGTGAAAGACAGTGCCAATCATAATTATGTCATTGTTCACTTCTAAAATTTGAATTACTTTTTTCTTTTTTTTTCTAATGGCTGTAAATTATATTTAAACTGCTTAGACATAAAAAACACTGGAGGTACAGAATAATAACAGGGTTGCTAACTTCCAAGTTCTTCAAACTGCATATCAAGGATGAGAAGATTTGCAATTTTAGCAAGCAGTGTTTATTTTATAACAGTTCAAAGTAAATTAATTACTTTTACAGCTGGCAATTTATGGATAACTGCAAATTATTTAGTGTTTGTTTTATGAAAGACAAATACAGGCTCAATACATACCAATAGCAAAAACATGTGGTGGCAATGTTCCAAGTGATCTACCCTGGTACTTTTTAATAGTATCCGAAGAATAAAACTTAGGTATATCAAAATATGGATTCACTGCAATAAGAATGTTGGCTACATAGGTCTGTGAAGAAAACAATTAACAGCAAACTATTAGCTAGTGTCCAATCAAGTGGTTAACAGCAATTTTCTATTACTATTGAAGACTATAGCCTAAGCATAACAATTACATTTAAAATTGTCTCCAGCAAATGCAGATACAAGAAGAGATACATTTTCAGAGTTCCTCTAATTATCTTCCCAGGACTTCCATGAAAAAGCACTTCTTGGGCAAATTTCCTAACCACTGAGCTGTGGAGTATGTCCTGAATTTGACCTTTCTCCCAATCTCTTTTTAAATTACTTCCTATTGTCCGAGTTACTGGATCACGGATAGGACACCACAACCTCCTCCTCAAAAGTGAATAAACTAAGCTCCTGGCTAGCATAACGCACCCTCCTCCAGTGAGGAGGATAATTTTTCAATATCTAATGGAAGCAA